ATCGGATTAGCACCCCAGCGGTAAAGAGGCCAGTCCATCCCAGGAAACAAAACTTCCACAAGGAAGAGGAGACATTGAGGAATTTGTGTTCACAAATGCACAACAGAGATAGTTACTAGCCGAAATTAAAGTCCTGCCTGTAAACTTTCTCCCCACTGGAAGGAGAGCTGTTCTGAGGTTGGTTCCTTCCAACTCCGAGGCTGACAAAGTGACAATGCTCACAGTGTGTGGAGTGAGTTGCATGGGCATTTCTTTGAGGACTTTCTCCCACTTTCTCATCTGCCACCTCAGAGGAGACCAGCAGACCCCTTGGTTGGGGACTGGGAGGTTACTGCCCCGAGTCAAGGGTCAGCCTGGGGGCTGCTTCCAGGGCCTTGGGTAACAGGGTGTGTCAAGCAGGGGGAGGGCTAAGGACGGCGTTTTTAACTCCCGATCAAAGGATATTGAAGTGGAAGGTGCAAACCTAGATGTGTAGGTGCACTTTTCGGAATAGCACTATAATAGTTTCCGTCAGATACAGCAAGTCCCTAACACATCTCCCTCCCAAATGAGAACAGCCCAGACAGAATGAAGTGCACCTAAGTCACAGTTATCGGGCACCCCGTTCTTTCAGCCGAGTATGATTTGTCAAACCCGTGCCTACCGCTGACACTCCCTTGATGTGTTGTGTAGACTTGACGTTGAGCAGCCCAGAGAAAAATCTGAGAAGAGACAGGGGTGGGTCGCTAAACGCCGGCGCAGCCCTAGGCCTGAATGCGCCCCGTCTCCTCCAGGCGGAGGAGGCCACAGGCTCCGGCTGGCCGGTGTTTTCCGTAAGGAAGCACTGGAGTTGCAGACCCGGGGTGGGAGCCCCCCCAGCTGGGCCAGCCGCCATGCTCCGCTGTGAGCGGTAATTTGTCCACCAGCATGGGTTTCATTCTCTGAATCACCTTCAGCAGGTGTCAGGGCTGGGTCTCATTCCCGCTCCCTCTAGGCCTTGGCCTGGCCGGAGGGATAGACACAGATACGCTTCACACCTGTGTTTAATATGTCCAGCCGGTGGGAAGACATGTGCCCAGGTAGCCGGCCCTGCGTTCGTTCAAGGGGGTGGGGTTGGCGTTTTCTCTGGGTGCTTTGAAAGGAAGGCCGGCAAGCTAAAGAGGGAGCGAGTCTGGAAAGGGGCGCTTCCCAGGGGTAAGGGGCTCCCTAATCCGGCCACACCGGTTGTTTGCCAGGAGCAGCTCTAGCCATAGACTGCACCCGGCTGCTCCAGGGCGCCTGCGCCTTCCCGCATCTCAGCTCCCCTGGCGCTGCGGGAGCTGCTTTCTCCACCCACACCACTTTCTCTGGGGCTGGCAGATGCCAGATGCTGAGCCCTGAACTCGCCTGCGAGCTGGTAGGGCCCCTTCCGAGCGGCCCAGCCATTTATTCCATCCTGCAATTAAACCCGAGGTCAAATATCTCCTTAACGACGCTATCAGGCCAGTGGCTCATTATGGCGTATATTTAGCCAAAAAATATGGGTTGTAGTTAGGAGGAGATGAAAATTATTGTGTTCTGGGAATGAATCCTTTTAGCAGAAACCAGAGCTGTTATTTCCCACGAGAGCTAAGTACAGGCTCAGTCTTCTAGGCGGCCCCAGCAGGATCAGCCGCTTTTCCAGGCCCTTTCCGGCTGTGCCTGAGCCCCCCGCCACGGGCCTGGCACTGCCTTTTGTGCCACTTAGCGCACAAGAAGGAGCTGCACCGGTGACAGAGGAACAGCATGATTGTGGAGCCTTAGGGGCTTTGGATGGTGTCCTGTCTCAGTTCCCAGATTCGGAGCTTCCTGCAGCCGGCTTGCCTGGTTTGTGGTGGGAAAGACTTTGGCAGGATGGTAACAAGATGTTGTGCTAGCCGGGTCTTGCTGTGGAGCTATCTCAAGCTTGGTAGAGTCAGTACATCTGGCTTCTAGGGAGGCTGTACTTCTGGCTGCCATGGGTGGGTTAATTAACCTCTCCACTTCACTAACCTCTTCTGTGAAATGAGGGAAAGGCCGTGGCTTCTCCCAGAAAGCTTAGGAGAATTAAATCCGATGTTTGATGTGAAGCCTGTGGCCCAGTGTCTGGCACAGAAAAGTTTAGTCCATGGTGACTAAATGACAAAATCACGATGATGCTGATAAAAATAAGATTTTGGGCTGCTGATAACGAATGAATGAAACCAGTCATGTAAGAGGCTGTGATTTGGAGTCCAGGATTGGACAGCCTCCAGTTTGGGTGGAGCTCAGATCATCCCCAGCTGTGCCCACCAGCCTGGGTAACTTTTTTCCCTTGCACAGGATTCCCACTTGCCTGCAGGGTTGGACAGCCACAGGTTTAGGAGGGGGGAGCCCAGACTCTCACCCCAGGCAGTACCTGCCCCAGCAACCTGCTCAGAGTTGCTGTGATTTGCTGAGATCCTGCTGGTTGGTGATCGGCATTGCTTACCATGAGTTGCTCACACAGGATCTCATTTTCTGCTGCCACCCCCCTGCCAACATCTTGGATGTCGAAGTGGCCCCAGTTGGAACCAGAGGCCTCCAGACACACCAGCAATGCTTGGCTTCACCCAGGCAGTGCTGGGGGGATGGGGATTGTATGGACAGGGACATCCCCAGATTTACCCTCTCAGGAAGTGGCCGGGTGACCCGCAACCTACAAATATTTGGAGAAACCAGATGAGGGAGTCCCCAGTCTAAATGTTTGCCCAACGCCTCCAAGGGGGCAGATTCTTTATAAGGCTAATGGGCCCCCCAGGCAGGACAGTTGTTTGCTAGAGGAAAGTGGCCATGTCCCCTACCCCCACTGGCCAAGGACCAACTTGCTTGGCTTCCAAGCTGGGCAAGACACCAGACCTTCCTTCCCTCCCCTATATATGTCCTGCTTAGAGATTCTGGGAGTTCCTGCCAGTTAGATGCGGGCTGTGCTGGGACAAGGACAGATTCTTCAGACCCCTTCCTCTGGATCCAAACACACACACAACCCCCAACAAGTACCCTGACACTACCTTCTTAGGGCAGCCTCCTCATGTCCATCTGAATACAGAGACAGCAGCGAGTCTTGGGTGGCTTTCTGAATTTCAGTTCTGGCAGGGAGAGGGGTGCCCGTGGCCCTTTCTGGAGTTGCCTGCGTCTCTGAGAGGGAAGCACTGGGTGGCAGTGCTTTGTGCTCATGGCCATGTCCTGCTCCATCTCTGGGTCTCTGTTTCTTCTTCTGGGAAGTAGGGATTCTTTGTTAACTCTTTAGAGACCACGTCTTCTGCCTTGAGCACTTGATGGAGCCATACTTCTCAGTTTAGTCATCTTGTCTCTCTCTGGGTGTCACCTTCGTCACCACCACTGCCACCTTCGTGAAACACACACCAGTTGCTTCACAAGCATTTAATCATCACACCTCACCAAGGCAGGTAGTATTGTCCTGCTTTTCCAAGTGAGGAAATTGAGGTTCAGAGAGGTTGAATAACTAGCCCAGGGGCACACAGCTAGTGAGTGATGCCACTCTTGTTACCTCTCTGCATCCTTGGTGCTCGTGGATTGGTGATTAGGGATCTCAGTGGGAGAATTTGTGCTAAGGTGAGCCTGGCCCCCAGGCTTTTCTGATGGTTCCATGGCTGGGGCAGGGGTTCAGGGGAAATGCAACACGTTGACTTCTGTAGATCCGCCATTTAACCTAGAGTTTCTATTAAATGTTGCTGCAAGATGTAACTTTTGTGGGTCGATTATTATAAATGTGTGGGTTATTGCTATAAAAATGTGCATTCAGGGCTTGAGTTTCATTGGGTTGCATCCTTTATTCCCCAGGAACTCCAAGGGGGGAAGATAGGCTGCAGGCAGCCACAGCCTGGACAGACCCCTGGGTGCCTCCGCTCATCCTCCTTACCCGCAGGTGCGCCTAAAGCTCCAGCTTAGACCAAGCTGGGGTTGTGTCTGAACCGGGCATTGCTGCTCAGAACTGGCTTCCTTGCTACTGTTCAGGTTGTTTTGTTGCTGGGAGGGTCCCCCATCTGAGATGACAAATGTGACATATACTCTTGGAAGCACTTGGCCTGTTGGTCACAGCAAGAGAATCTACCACCCAAAGGTTTTATTTCATTAGAAGCTTGTTTACCGTCTGGTGAGCTGGCTGCTCCGATGAGGAGCTGCCAGTACAATACCCTGATTGTGTCCTTCATGACCTCAAAATTGCAGTTCTTAAGCAAATCAGTTCTTGCTGTGAGAAAGGTTTTCTCTATGCTGCTTCCCCTCCAAGAGTGAGTTTGAATGCTTTCCTTGTGTCAGGCTCAATCAAGCGGTGGAGGAAATAACGGGAGATACAGGAGGATTAGCCTTGCTCAGGCCACCTTTTCCCTTTGGGGATCATACTTGCGCCTGCTCCCTGGGTTTAACACAGACGCTTACAGCTGACCCACAGGGAGCCTGGCACTGGGCACAGCCAGCCAGCGTCTGGCCGCAGGGAACCCCCACTCGGTTTGGAAGGTAGTGTTGTGATGTTTGTGAGGCACTGCCTGCGGTCAGGCACCAGCAGAGTGCTGAGCCTGTGATCTCACACAATCCCCGAAGCAGCATCATGAAGGGCACTTCAGATGAGGACCTGGAGGGGAGGAGAGGTTGCGACTCACCCAAGGGCGTACACCAGTGGGTAGTGGAGCTGCGTCTCATGCAGGCATTTGATTCCAGAGCCCAAGTTTGCAGGGCGCCTGGTGTGTGCTCATTGCCACCACTGACATTGAACATGAGATACAGGGCATGTGTGCAGGCTGAAGGAGCATCCACAGTAGCGCAGGGGTTTGGGGCCGGACTGGACCGTGTTAAGCTAAATGACTGAATCTACACATCACATTATGGTCAGCAGTGGACTGCAGAGCACCCTAGAATCACTCCTGAAGTTCTAACAGCTGTTTTCCAAACAAAAGAAAGGACGGGCATGCCTGTTTGTCGTTGTGCTTTAGTGCTTGTGACTCATCTGCAGCGTCTGTTCCTCATAAGAGCACTTTTCCAAATAGGATTTGTGAAGAGGTGACCCAAATTTAAAGACAACGTTGGATGCAAACCGATTTGCCAGCAATTGCGTCACCATCAAAACCAGCTCTGAACGTGTCTTCCAAAGATACCAAGTGAAATACGTACAGATGGGATTTACGTCTGAAAAACCAGAGCAGGAGTCCATGGGAAGGGACGGAGGTGGAACAGGACTGGACCAGAGCAGAACTGGACTGGTAAGTGGTTGTTGCTGAGTACTGGGCAAATGGAGGTTGGTTATACGATTTCCTTTACTTTCACATAGTTTATTTTTTCTATAATGAAAACAAATTAAAATCATCTGTCTTGATCTCGTGGGGGGCCAACGTTGCTGGATTTTAGAGTGGGACAGAAAGCTCTCCAAAACCCAACGTTGCTGGATTTTGGAGTGGGACAGGAAGCTCCTTAATTACAAAAGAAGGCCAGGCATTGTGGTGCATGCCTGTAATCCCAGCACTTTGGGAGGCCGAGGCAGATGGATCACGAGGCCAAGAGATGGAGACCATCCTGGCCAACATGGTGAAACTCCTTATCTACTAACAATACAAAAATTAGCCGGGTGTGGTGGCACGTGCTTGTAGTCCCAGCTACTTGGGAGGCTGAGGAAGAAGAATCACTTGAACCCAGGAGGCGGAGGTTGCAGTGAGCCGAGATCGCGCCACTGCACTCCAGCCTGGTGACAGAGCAAGACTCCATCTCGAAACAACAGACAAATGGAAAAACAAAAAACAAAACGCCCCCCAAACACTGAGAGGAAGGGGAGGGAATCCTGGACATTTAAAGCAACAAAGAAACTTGATATGGTCTTGTCTCCTCTCAATTTACAGCAAGAAACTGAAGACCAGAGCGGGTGAGGGGCTTACCCAGTTGGTACAGTCACGCTGGTCATAGCACCAGGACTAGATTTCCTAACTGACATAGACCACCGGTCCTTTGTAAAACCATGTCATGCAGCAGAAAAACCTAATTTTGTGTTTGCTGTTTGTCTGGCTCCAGTTGGGCTGCTAAAACAAAGTATCATTGACTCAGTGGCTTATAAACAGCAGACGATTGTTTTCTTACAGATTTGGAGGCTGGAAGTCCAGGATCAGGATGTCAGCACTGCTGGGTTCTCTTCCTGGCTGTGGGTTTCCATCTTGTCGTGTCCTCACATAGCACAAAGAGCTCTCCAGGGTCCCTTTTATAAGGGCACTCATCCCATCATAGGACGCCACCCTCATGACAGAATCACCTTCCGCCAAGCCCCACCCCCCACACACACCATCACATTGGGGGTTAGGATTTCAACATAGGAATTGTGGGGACACAAACATTCAGTCCAAAGCACTGTGAAGTCAGTAAGACAGGCAGCCAAGTAAGTCACATGCAGCATACCTGGGTAAAAAGGTGAGCAGCACGGCAGCCCCCCTGGACATTCCAAGTATCCAATATCTGGTTTGTGATGAGAGCTTCTAGGTAGTGAGCTGGAATTTTTCATCTTCTTAGGATGTTTTGGGATTTGCTGACATATCTGTAGATATAGATGTAGATGCTGTGACTGTACATGGTAGGCATACCTCTTCATCTTTTCATACACCTCAGATGGTGGCAAGGACGTGACTAACACACCACTGGAGGTGTTTTGAGAAGATGGGATTTGATACAGGGCATGAGGCGCTTCCAAAATCATTGGAAAGGCTGGCAGAATGTGTTCTACCCTGGGCTTCCAGAAATGACTCTAGGAGCCACATGGGATTGGCACCAAAGAGCTGTAAACCAGTGAGCGCCAGAAGGTCGCCACTGGAACTGCTGGGTTCAAGAATGCAAGCAAGCCGGGTGCAGTGGCTTATGTATGTAATCCCAGCACTTTGGGAGACCAAGCCCAGGAGTTCAAGACCAGCCTGGACAACATAGGGAGACCCTGTCTCTACAAAAAAAAAGAAAAAAAAAATGTCAGACTAGCCAGGTGTGGTGGTGAGTGCCTGTAGTCCCAGCTACTTGAGAGACTGAGGTGGGAGGATTGCTTGAGCCCAGGAGATTGAGGCTGCAGTGAGCCATGATCACCCTGCCGTACTCCAGCCTGGGCAGCAGAGTGAGACTTTATCTCAAATAATAATAATAAATAAAATAAAATGAAAAGTAACACAAACAACTCTGGCTGCAATCCAGGGTCAGGAAGCCTCTGTTCACTTGTTCTTTGGCACCCCAAGGTGCCTGGATGCTGGAATGCTACCACAGAAAACCTTGAGTTTCTATGCTGTGACACTGGCTGGTCTCGGCCTCAGGTCTCCTGTGCCTGTGTCTTATTGGCTGAATCTCATTCACCTCCAGCCCCTTGGTTACAAGGGAGCCTGGAAGTTCTTTTTAAAATTCGCTTTCTAGACTAAGAAGACACATCCAAAAAGGGAGTGATCGTGCCACTGCAACCCAGCCTGGGCTACAAATTAGCCGGGGGTGTGAGCTGTTTCTTCCTGCGCCTCGTCCATTTCATATCTCCAGTACCTAGCGCAGTACCAGGTACACACTATACTTCAAAAGGAAGCAGTAGTCTGCGTTAATTTTCATTAGTGCATCCATCTATCTATTGTCTATTCTTTCAACAGGCATTGCCCTTGTGATTAATGAGGAGCTGTCATTCTGGGTGGAAGGGCAGACAATAAGCAACATGAATGGGCAAGTCCACAGGAAAGATGGTTTCAAATAGAGCTAAGTACAATGAAGAAGGTAAACTAGGTAAGGAGGTAGAGAGTGATGGCAGGAGGAGCACACCTGCCCTGGTGTCATTCGAGCCAAGGCTTGCATCAAAAAGAGTCAGACAGGAAACGGTGCAGAAGAATGTCCTAGATAGAAGGCATAGTACATGCAGAGGCCCTGGGGTCATAGCAATGTGGTGTCTTCCAGGATCTCGGAGGAGGCCAGTGTGCTGGGATTGGGGGAGCAGAAATCTGAGAAAGCAGAGAGGATGGAAAGTAGGGGTCGGAAGAGTGGGCAAGGGCTGTGGTGATCCTGCCAGGCTGTCGAGCCAGGAAAAGCATGCATTTTATTTTAAAAGGGATGGTTAAGCATTGAAGTGTATTAACGAGAATGACATACTCTGTTGGTGGTTTAGAGACCGTGTTTGCAAACTCTTTGATGCTTCTTCTCTGGATGATGAGGTCTTGGACTCCTTCCCTTGAGTTGAGCAGGCCTTTGAGATCTTTTGGATGGCTAGACTGGCAGAAATGACACTGTGTGACTGTCAAGGTCAGGTGAGCAGAGAAGCTTTTGCTTGGGCCCTTTCTCAGGATGCACGCTTTGGGAGCTGCCTCGTAGGGAGTCCAGCTATCCTGAAGCCCCCATGTAGGAAAGCCCATGTGGAGAGAACACAGAAAGGTAATAGAGAGTTCCAGAAGCCTGCCACTCTAGCCTCTGCTGTTTGGGTATTCCCAGCCCAGGTGCCAAACAGGGCAGGGAAGAAGCCTTCAGATGACCCCAGTCCAGCCCTCCTTGAGGACTGAGTACATGAGAGATCCTGAGCCAGAGCCATCCAGCCTTGTTCCTCCCAGAATTCCTGACCCACGAGAACTGTGAGAAGTAATATGACTGCTGATTAAAGCCACTGCGTTTTGGCATGATTTGTTACAGTAATAGATAACTGGAAAAAATTTTAATTTCTATTTTAAGGTGGACTTTTTATTGAAACATCACATACATACGGAGAAGTCCACATATTGGCTCAATGAGCTTTCTCAAAGGAAACACTCTACGGGCACTGTGCCGATGCAGACATACCATTTCCATCCTCCTGTCAGTGCTCCTCACAGCACTCACCTTCTGACTTGGAGCCACCGAGAGCGTCCTGCCTAATTTTGAACATGGTGTAAATGGGATCATACAGAATGTGCTTGGCGTCTTTCACTCTGTGCTGTGTTTATGAAAATCGCCCAGATTGCCACATTTATTCCTTTTCACCCCCACGTGGTATTCCATTGTTGTTGGACACAGCCTGTTTATTCCTTTTACTGTTGAGGGAAACATAGTTATTTCGAGTTGGAGACCATCATCAGTAGTGCTGCTGTGCGTACTCTAGGATGTCTCTTGGCTACCTTCTGCATGTATTTCTGTTGGAGATAGTTTCAGCTCTCTCTAATGTGTAACAACAGACCATCCTAAAATTGAGTCCTTAAAACAATAACCATTTTCTTTTTTCTCAGGATCTGGTGCATGGGATGGGCTCAGCTGGGTAGTTCTTCTGTTTCATGTGATGGTACCAGGGCTGCAGTCATTCAGAGGCTCAACTGGGCTGAGGGTTCAAGGTGTCTTGCTCATGTGGACATCAGTGGTGCTGGCTGCTGTTGGGAGCTCTGCTGGACTTTTGAGCAAAACTCCTCAGTTCACCTCTTTGTGTCCTCACCATGTGGCTTAGGTTTCTAACAATACAGGGGCTGGATTCTAAGAGGAGGGAAGTAGAAGCTTCCAGCCTTCTTAAAACCAGGGTTCAGATGTCCCAGGCCATCACTGTATTGACCGGAGCATTTAGAGGCCAGCTCGGTAATTTTTCCATCTCTGGGCAGGAGTGGTGGCATGTGCTGGAGGTAGGGGTAGCATTGTTGGGGACCACTTTTGGAGCTGTGTGCCAAGGAGTAAATTGCTGGGCTGCATTCTACCTGAGGACGTGCACTGTGCTTGCTTGTGGAGAGCGAGTTGTGTGCTCAGAGTCCACCAGGATTTAAGAATCAGCTCTGAGCCCTGCTTCCCTTGCCTCGGCCTGAGCCATTGTGAATCAAAGCCTCTCCCTCTGCCTGCATGCAGACATGCCAGAGGAGCTGGCTTGATTTGGGTCCTAGGCTCCTGCTTGTGGGTTGGATTCCAGGGGCATTCTGCATCCACAAACCAGACTGTGGCAGGTGCAGCACCTCAATGGAAATGACCCACACTTCACCCTAAAGACAGATCCTGCTGTTCAGCAACAATGTGAGTGATGTGGTGACAGCTCCTCACATTTGTCCAGCATGAAACCATTTGCAAATTTCTTTTCGGTACACAGTCCCATTAGCCAGTCACATCGCCATGACAGCTCCTCAAACACCTTTTGGTTTGCAGTTGTGTAGCTTAGAAGTAGGGGCCTGCACAGCTTGAGGACGTCACAGGAGGAATACACTTTGTGCTTCGAAAAGTTAATTATGGGAATATCCTGCAACCTGCTGCTCTGAGCCTGTGCACCTCGGGTTTTTCCCCACAGGTGCTATGTATGAGGATATTCATCAGCATGTGGTTTGGGGAAGCCTAGCACTGGAGGCCACCTAGGTGGTCCTTTCCAGGGGAGTGGGTAAGAGCCCCACAGTGCACGCATAGGAGGGAATCCTGTGCAGCAGTGAAAAGCATTGAAGGAAAGGTGTGTTCTGTTTCCTGCTACAGAACTCACCCTTGGCCGGGCTCTGTGGCTCATGCCTGTAATCCCAGCCCTTTGGGATGCTGAGGCAGATGGATCATGAGGTCGGGAGTTTGAGACTAGTCTGGCCAATATAGTGGAACCCCATCTCTACTAAGATGACAACAATTAGCTGGGCATGGTGGCATGCACCTGTAGTCCCAGGTACTCAGGAGGCTGAGACAGGAGAATTTCTTGAACCTGGGAAGCAGAGGTTGCATTGAGCTGGAATTGTGCCACTGCACTCCAGCCTGGGTGACAGGGTAAGACTCTGTCTCAAAAACAAAAACAAAAACAAAAAAACCCAAAAAAACTAGGGTAGAGGCACTAGAGCACCATAGATACAAACTCAGACTCTGAAGGTCAGTGCCCGGGTTCAAATCCAAGCCCCCTTGCCAACTGACCATGAGTCCTCCAGGTCACCTGACTTCTGTGTTTATATCCTCAAAGGTAAGTAGTCAGGAAAGGGGGCTTGCTGCATGGATTGTTGACACTCTGCTTCACAAAGTGTAGTCCCCGGAAACAGTGAGGAGGGAAGGGTCCATTTAGAATCCTGAGTACCAACTGCTGTGAGTATACCAGAGCCACTGGCTAGTGACACCTAACTCGGACTTGGTGGGATGGCAGAACTGGGGTGACTGTTACATTCTACGACAGAACAGATGCCTGTTGTCCTGGATTTTTATCCAGCTTAGACAAAGATGGGCAAATAAAGTAATTTAGAAGATGATAGAGACTTACACAGAGAAAGGGCACAGATAGAGGCACAAACAGGCCACGTGATGGTGGAGGCAGAAATTGGAGAAATGTCTTTGCAAGGTGGAGAATGCCCAGGATGCCTGCAACCCTGGGAGTGTGAACCTGGAACTCTCTCTCCCTTAGCGATCTTAGAAGAAACCAGCCCAGCATCACCTTTTGGAGCTCTGGCCTCCAGAACTGCACAAGAAAATGTTTCTGCTGTTGGGGGACATCCAGTTGGTGGTCATTTGTAACAGCAGCCACAGAAAAGGAATACAGATTTAGGCATCTAATTTGCGTATATAGATGTGTATGTACATTTGTTAAATACAAGATAAAGCATTATAACTCAATGGGCAACGATACCACTGATTCAATTGTGTTGGTTAAAAAATGACAGATATCATCCACACATTTTATGTGCTGATAATGAGAAAAATCCAAGACTACATAGAGTTTCTCTTGTTTTAATTATTTTATTCTTTTAAACAACAATGTGGCTAAAGCAAACAAATTATTTTTTTTTCATGAAACAAACAGAAAGGGTTCAATGCACTTAAAGGATCAACCATTCCCACCAGCTTGGAGACAGGGCTGAGGTTGCAGGCAGTGATGTGTGTGGTGTGCATCTGTGGGGTTTGGGGTTTTGCTTATTTGGAGTGATGGGAGTAGGAGCCTTTCCGAGAAATGCATACCCATGAGCTAGTTCCTGGGCCACAGTGCTGGCTCTCTGCTGACTGGTTTATGGTACAATCTGGGTTTAGGGGCAGCTTTGCTGCAGGCAGGAGCCTCGACCCTTTGGAATAAGATTCCACTCCTGAGACCCCTTCCGTCCTGGAGACTCAGGACATGCAGGCTGGAACCTGCAACCCTTCTGTGTCAAGCAAACAGCACTCGTGCCTTTGAAATTCCTCAATGTTTCCGGCACACCTGCATTTGGGAACACTGCTCTCATTTTTCTCTGTGTGCTTATATACTTACTCCTCCAGAGTTCCAGCATGTCAGACTATTGTCATCCTCATTCTACATGGGAAACTGAGGCACGGAGAGGTAAAGTCACTTTCCCGCTGTGGCACATATAGGATTAGAACTCCAGAGCTTCACCATCCAGCTGAAGGAGGAGGAAGGGGGCTTAGCAGCCTGGAAAGGGGGCTGGCCCGCTGAACTCGCCCTTGGCTTCATCTCCACCTGTACTTGGCCGGCTCCTTTTCCCCTTTCCACCTTCCTGGGCTTCAGTTCAAGTGCCATTTCCTCAGAGGGGCTGTCCCCACCCCAGGGTGCCCTCCCCACCCTCGCTGTTCCTCACTGTGCCTTCTGCATGGTACTGTACTTGTCACTGAAGTTATCCTGCTTCTTTAGTGTCCAGTGCCCCTCTGGTCAGGGTCCTGCGGGCAGGGAATATTCTTTCTTGTTCCCAGAGGTTGTTGCCTCCGCAGCACTTAGCAGAGTGCTGGCTCCCAGGTCCTGGGTCTGTGTCCTCATGGACCAAGCATGCAATGCCAGTGGAGACACATGGGACTTGGGCCCCAACCTCAGCTGCTGACATTTACATCCACCTGTTGAGTGCCAAGCACATCATGTTTAACCCTCAGTGGAATGAGACATTTGCCCCATTTCACTGTGAGAAGAGGCCAAGTCGCCTTGCCCAAGTCACACACCAACAGGTGAATCGAGAGTCAGGCACCCCTGACTCCTGAGCCCCAGGCTGCAGCCTGGCCTGAGGGCTGGGAAGACTTCAGGAAATTCCAAGGGAACAGTTACTCTTCTTGTTAGGAGTCAATAGCCATGAGAGCAGGTTGCTGGACGCCTGGGATCTTGCCATCTGTACGTTTAGACAGAGGATCCACAAACGAGGCAATAGGCCTGAAGTCACCCCACAAATGTGAGTTCATCCAAGCAGGACACCCCATGAGAGGGAAGTGGGTCCTCCCCCTGCCTCAGCCCTCAAGAACAGGACAGCAGGGCAGAGGAATGAAGAATCCCCATCCAAGGGCTCTGCGGAGCTTCCTCTCCATCCCTGAGCCATCTCCTTGGGCCTCTGGTGAGCACATGTGCAGGGGACACTAGAGCCCTATTTTCTTTTAGGCCACGGTGGTCAGGTCTCTCCTACAGTAGCTGCAAGTGCTTGGTAACTAACACGTTGCTTGAATGTCTGACTCCTTTTGCATTTCCTTGAGAGGCAGCAGTTCACCCCAGGAAGGATTAGGATGTTATGGTTGGAATGCAGAGAGAAAGGGTTTGATTTCCAAAACAGGCTATTTGAGTCTGTGTCATCCCAATAGCCCCGGTGTCTTGAGAAGTCAGTCCTGCATTCTGACCACCTGCCCTTTCCATAGCAGGAGTCAAGACCTCTGCAGCAGGTCATGGCGTTTCACAGAACCCGCAAGGAGAGGAATCCATGCCTGCACCTGTCACGGGAATCCTTCAGAAGGGAAGGCTGAGAGCAGCAAGGTGAGGCTGGGTGGGCGTGGCTGGGCAGGGTGAGGCTGGTGTTCTCAGGGTTGAACCTCATGGGGTAGATGCAATCTGAGAACCCAGGGGTGTCTGAAGACGGTGGGACCACCAGGCAGCTACCCTGGACTACTCGTCCATGCTTTTTACATAGAACCACACTCTCCTCTGCAGGAGGAGACAAAAATGTCCAAGGTGGCAGAGAAAAATAGTCACCATGGTGCAGGGGAGTGCCCTGGGGCGGCCAAAGAAAATTCCCACCACAAACTTGGTGGCTTAAAACAACAGAAAGTTATTTTCTCATAGTCCTGGGGGCCAGAGCCTGAAAGCAAGCTTTCAGCAGGGCTCTATTTTCTCTGGAGTCTCCAGCGTGGCTCCTTCCTGCCTCGTCCAGCTCCTGGTGGCTCCAGGCACTCCTGGGCTTGTGCAGCCTTGCACCAATCTGTCTCTGTGTCTTCCTCTTCTCTCTCTTACAAGGGCACTGTCATAGGACTCAGGAACCTCCCCAAACATGGTGATCTCATGTTGGGATGCCTAAGTGGTAACATGTGCAAAGACTCCTTTTACAATGAAGACCTCATGCACAGGCTCAGGCTTAGGATGTGGCCATCTCTTCTTGGTGAGGGGTAGTGAGTGAAGGCTACTGTTCAGCCTGCTACACCCAGCGATGGCTGTTCCATGCCCTGCAGCTGCACTGAGATGGCAGAAGCTGTTGTAGGAAATTCTTCCATTTTCTTTTCTTGGAAAGCAAAACCAGTGCAGGAGGAGAAGAGGAGAGAATAGGAGATGTGTCTGGAGTATGGGCTTGGCTGCTACCATGCAGATCCAGAAAAGCACAGATCTGAATGAGAGGAAACTAAGTCTCGCTCATTCACAGCACTCCAGGTGTGCAGTGTGCAGGGTCAAGTGGTACTTCCCTGTGCCAGGGATCCGAAATCTCTGTCTTTCTGGTTCCTCTGCCAACCATAGGCTGCTGTCCCCATCTGCATGGCTCACCTCCAAGTCCTCTTTCTGACCAAAGAGAGAGCTGTCCATGGCTAATGGTGAGGTTGGTGCACACTGGCACGGCTGAGAGGCTCCTCCTGGTGCCATGTATTCTAATTGCCTGTACTCTATTGGTTGTTCAACGTTTGGGCGGCCACCCCTAGTATATCCCTTCCCTTGAGGGCATGACCCAGAAATTATACCTATCACTTCCTCTTCCACTCACACCCCATTGGTCAGCGTTTGGTCATATGACCACAATAGCTGCAAGGGAATCTGGGAAATGTAGCCTTTATTGGTGATGGCCATTTGCCTGGTAGAAAATTCTAATAACGGATATTAGGGAAATGGATAACTGGGTGATAACAAACATTCTCTGTGAAGGAGGGGTCTGGCTTTCCGGGACTAGGCTCAGCATCTCCGACTCTTCCACTGACTGGGATATTGCTGGAGAAAAGCTGATAGGTCTATGCCTAGAAAAGCCTTGGATCTTATGGTGGCCTGAATTCGTAGAGAAATGTTTGCTACAGTGCCTAGCACCAAAGTGTACAATCGATGCAAAAAAAAAAGCCAGGGGTAGCGACTCATGTCTGTAATCCCAGCACTTTGGGAGGCTGAGGTGGGAAGATCAGAAGGTCAGGGGTTTGAGACCAGCCTGATCAACATGGTGAAACCCCATATCTACTAAAAATGCAAAAAAAAAAATTTTTTTTTTTTTGGGAACCAGGCTCAGCATCTCTTATTTGCCACTCAGCAAGTAAGAGCATGTGCTAAGGGCCAGACCATGTGCTAAATGTGCCAGGCATCATCTCTGCAGCTAAGCAGTGTGTGATATTGTGGATAGACAGACACAGACACAATGATATCGCGCTAAACTGCTATGCTAAAAATAATGTGAACTGGCCAATAAGGATATGAAAATAGGTCCAGCCTCACTAGAACTGTTGAGCAAATGTGAATACGAATGCCCCATACACCTTTTCTGGGTGTATATCTAAAGGAACTGAAAATGGGGCAGAGCTCAGTGGCTCACACCTGTAGTCTTACCTACTCAGGAGGCTGTGGAGGGAGGATCTTTTGTGCCAGGAGTTCATTGCTGTAAGTGGGCTGTGATCACACCGCTTCATTCCAGCCTGGGTGATAGAGATAACCCATTGCTTAAAAAAACAAGAAACAAAAAGACAGAAACTGGATCTCGAAGAGATATTTGCACACTTATATTCACAGCAGCACCGTTCACAACAGCCCAGAGGTGGAGGTGACCCAAGCGTCCATTGACGGATGAATGGCGAAACAAAAGGAAGTAACATTTTTCACCCACTGGACTAAGTCTGTTATTGCTGAGAGTATCAGCAGCTGAACTCTCCAGGTTAAGGAATTTGGGAACAACCTTAAAATTTTAAATGCGTGAATCTTGTGATACAGCAGTGTCTCATGTGGAAGTTTTGAGAAACGAAAGGAGGTGACGATTTGGCTCAAATGAGACAGTGGAACCCCTTAGCACTCTGCCCAGCAACCAGCTAGCACTCAAGAAGCGGATAGAACTTTATCATTCCAACAGTGATGAGAAGACCTCCCCTCACACCTCCCACCCAGCTTAGTCATAGGAGTGGTATTAGCAATCAGGGTTTCCAGAGAAACAGAATACACACACACACACGTGCACACGCACACGCACATGCACACGCACACATACACACACACACCCAGGTTCTCATGGCTGTGGAGGCTGGCAAGTCTGAAACCCGCAGGGCAGGCCAGCAGGCTGGAAACCCAGACAGAAGCTGATGCTGCAGTCTTGAAGCAGAATCCCTCCATCCCAGGAATACTTGGATTTTGCTTATCAGGCCTCCACCTGATTGGGTGAAGCCCACCCACACTGTCAAGGGTAATCTGCTTGCCTTAAAGCTGACTGATAGAAGAGGTTAAGCACATCCACCACACACCTTGGTGGCAACATTTAGACGAGCGTTTGATTGAATCACCGGCACTAGAGCCTGCCCACGCTGAGATATAAACCTGCCCATGGCAGGGGCCAAGGTCAGATCACGCTGTGCCTGATGGGTCCCTCTTCCCTGCAGGCCCAGGCTCTGCCTGTGTCTGCCGTTGGGCCCAGCCTTGTAGCACCACCACATAGGGATCTGAGGTGCTGACTGACTCTTTAAGGTTTTTGTCGTTCTCTAGGTCTGAGCTAATCAATGGGACAAAAAGTCACAGCCTTGTGGCCTTTCAGCCACCTGGCAAGCCTACAGGTGGACAGCCTCCTCCAGAGAGTGGCACCTTGCCATGGGTGAAAGAAGGGCAGGAAGGGAGGATGAGCAGAGCAACACCTACTGGGCATTTATTATGCACCAAAGGGCTGGGCGCAGTGGCTCACACCTGTAATCCCAGCACTTTGGGAGGTCGAGGCGGGCGGATCACAAGGTCAGGAGTTCAAGACCAGCCTGGCTAACATGGTGAAACACCTCTCTGCTAAAAATACAAAAAAAATTAGCTGGTGTGGTGACAGGTGCCTGTAATCCCAACTACTCATGAGGCTGAGACAGGAGAATTGCTTGAAACCAAAAGGTGGAGGTCACAGTGAGCTGAGATCACACCACTGCACTCCAGTCTGGTCAACAAGAAACTCTGCCTGAAAAAAATAAAAAAATAAATAAATATTATGCCCCAAGGGCCTTTAACCCACTTCAGAGTATTAACTTCTTTAAGTATAGAGTTAGATACTATTACATTATTACACCCATTTTACAGATGAGAACACGAAGATCCCCAAATGTCGGGTAACTTGCTCAGGTTTTCATGGCTAGAACAGGGAGGGCCAGGATTTGAATGCATGCCCTCTGGCTCTATCTACACTCTGTTCTCTTGATCCCAGAGTACATGCCATCAAATGTCACTACCTGTCCCTGTGTCAGCCTTGGGGCTGACAGCTGGGAGCAGGACACACACCCGGGAGCCTTTGCCTCAACCCTGAATTCCTCTTTTGACAAATGGAAACCTCATTCCACTCTTGCTGATGCATCTCCTTATCCAGAGCATAATATAATCCTCATCTCTTTTCTCTGGAATGTTGGGAGAATTTGTGTCTGTCAAATGCTTTGGAGAAATGTGAAAAGAATGTTTAAAATGTCAGATCCATTTTTTCAAAAAAATCAATTATATGTTTGCCTTTGGGATAACCCTAAGACAACATAAAATCTCAAACTTTCATCCCACTGGAGTGAATGAAAATAATTACTCTGTTAGGTTTTCAGTGATCATGCAATTGCCCTGGATTTTGGATTCAAATTCCAACCAGTAGAGAACTGTGATCTTGGAGAGAATTCTAAAGAAATGCTGCAAAGGCACAGGTCTGTTCCAAGGCAGGGCCCGGGCCTTGGAGCCAGCAGAATCTTTGCAAGTGGCATCTGCAGTCACAGCAATTCTGACAGCTCCTCTGGAGGGGTTGGTAACTAGACTCTCTGCAAACTGGAAGAAATTAGCTCTGACCACAGACCATCTGACAGACCCGTATTTAATAATACTTCCCAAATGTGTGAAGCACTTAGTTTTAGAATAAGAGGAAGAATGGAATCGCCTGGAACTACAGATTTGAGATTTGTTCTGACCATCACACCCTTTTGGGAGCCTTGCTCCTCTGGCAGACAAGAGGGGTGGCCGAGGCCAGGTGCTGCTCCCTTGTGGCCCCCACGCCGGGGCTGGCCTGTCTTGGAGAAGGGTGACATTGAAGCTCTGTGCCCTGCACCCCTGGCCTTCTTGAGGTTGAGTTCGGGTCTGCCTGGGGAAGGAGCCCACTTGCCAGCTTGGGCCTGGAAACGTGAGTCTCCACAGATTCCACCAGGCCGTGGGGACGGCTGCAAAATTGCTCCCTTCCTTCTCAGCTGCTCCTGGACAGCTCCAGGAGGCCTTTCCGACAAGAGAGCATTGTGCCCCATTGGAGCCCTCCCCTGACACAAAGGGGACCTTTCACGGCTGCGATTGGGGAGGGTGGGGACCTCGAGGCCCACTCATTAACCAGCTCTGGGCACAGTGGCTGTGGCTCCAGCTACTGCTACCTGGAACGGGCCCTCCTTGGAGACAGAGCCTTTATTTGACTTCCAACAGGGAGCTCTCCTGAAGGAGGCCAACTTGTCTGCCGGGAAGAGAAGTGGTTGTCTACTTACCAAACATGATACAAAAGGCTCACATATCCCTTCCGGAATAAGGACTCAGAGGGATAGATGGGCTTATGGTGCGAATGGTTTTCAGAAGTATATGCAAGAGATTGACAACCCTGGTTGCATCTGGGGAGCTGGGTAGTGTGCAGAAAGGACAGGAGGGGAAGAAACTTATACTCTGTCCTTGTGGACTTGGGCGTATTGGACTATGTGAACAAATATCTAATTCAAAAATATCCTCACCCTGCAAAAGGCTAAATATATACTCCCCTCTCAGAGACAGAGGGCGGGTGGGGATGGGAAGTCCTGCTGGCTGCCCCTGGAGGCTGGGCATGGCACGTGTGTGTGTGTGTGTGTGTGTGTGTGTGTGTGCACGTGCCTGTATGTGTGTATGAGAGAAGATCTAAAATGTAATTGCTTTCAGTGGAATACAGCCCCACTGTGTAATTAAACCAGGGGGCTGTCGGCTCCCAGAGTTTAAGCGGCTTCATGTGCATTTGGTGATTATGCCCCTCTCCTTGGATAAAAGTGCTGCTTCTATTTTAGCCATACAAAATGATTCCCAGACCAGGATGAACGGTTACCTTCCCTGCCTACCTCGGCATGAGGCTCCCTCCAGCTGGCAGTCCTAGAAGGCTTCTAGTCGGGCTTCTAGTCGGTGCTGGGAGGGGAGGTCAAAGAAGAGAAAATCCAGGAACCTCTGCCACCGCCTCGACCAGAGAGACAGCATCGCAGCTCTGGGTTTGTCTGGACTGCCGGGGCCACTGTGTGCTGCGTCATCCAAGGACTCCCGTGCTCGGCTGAGCCAGTCTTCTATTGCTGCAGGCGTAAGTGTCCCTGCTCTTTGATCCACCGCTCCCCTGTGGTTTCTTCTGTGACCCATGGATGATTTGGAAGAGTGTTCCTTAATTTCCAAGTCTCTTGGGATTTTTTTCTAGATATTTTCTTGCTGATTTCTAACTTAATTCCATTGTGGTCAGGGAACATATTCTGGACATTGAGTCTTCTGCAATGGATTACAACTCTTTTCATGGTCCGGCATGTGGTCTGTCTTGAGGAATGCTTCACATGCACTCACAAAGAGTGAGCATTCCACGATTGTTGAGTGAGTATTCTGTACGTTCTGTTACGTCAAGGTGCTTGCTAGTGTTGTTCCAGTCTTCTGTATCTTCACTGATTTCCTTTGCCTGCTTTGGTCAACTACTGAGAGCAGGATTTTAGCATCTCCAATTATGATGGTTGATTTCTTGGCTTCTCCTTTTTTACTACAAAAGTTTGCTTTATGATATTTTCAGGCTTTGTTATTAGGAATATACACATTTACCTATTCACATAGGTTAATGTACATATACATGTATATTTATTAATCATAACATTAACAAATATACATAAATAAATTTATTAACATACATTAATATGCATTAATTGATGCATATTAATACACAAATATGCATTTATATATTAATGTATAGTAATATACATTATACAATTATAAATTAAACAATATATTTTTATATATGACTATTAATATACATTAATAAATATACAAATAAATATATAGCATTAGTAAATATAATAAATAAATATGAATATCTTATTAACATGTAATTAATAATGCATTATTATAACATTGTAGTAATACATAATTATACAAATATATAATATAAATATAAAATATTTAATAATATATTATAACATTAATAAATATTACTGTTTTATTAATATTTAATCAATAATGTATACATGGATGAAATTATGTATACATCATATATATCTGATATATATGTACATACAGTACACAGACACACGTACAGAGAGAGTTCACTCCCATCTCTGTGCTCCATTTACTCTGTTTTTAGTATCTCCTCCTTTCTGCCCCCTTCCTGGATAACCACTTCTTTTCTTCTGGGATTACTTTATGCACATAACAGAAAATGCAACTGCAGTGGATCCTGAACAATGTGGGTTTGAACTGGTTCAACATGGGTTTGAATCCACGTATCCATTTACATGTGAATTTTTTTCAACCAAACAAGGATGGAAATATAATGTTCATGGATGCGCACACAGAGGGCTGACTGCTGGCATCGTGGGTTCCACAGGGCCAGCTGCAGGACTAGAATACGCACAGATTTGATATATTCAGGGGTCCTGGAACCAAGTCTCTGAGTACAGCAAGGGGTGTCTGAATATATATTTTTCCTCCGACACGGAAGTTAGTGCTTCATACACACCCTTTTTCTTCCTCCTAGCAAGGTACTTGGTACTCCTTCCCTATCAGCCCCCAAAGAGCTTCCTCCATCTTGGCGGCAGCTGTGTGAAATTTATACCATTTATTTAACCAAGCCCTACTGACTGACCTTTGGCTGGTCACACACACTGGCTGTTACATCATGCAGCCTCTGTCTGTCCCACCTTCCAGATCCCCACCACCCTGCTTTTCTTGTCCCCACACCACACCCCAACCCAGGAACCAGCCAGGTAAAGGGAGGACCCTTTCTCTTTAAGAAGGTGGAGCAAGAGGATGGTGGTGAGCAGTCATCATTTGACATTTTCTTTCTTTCGTGCACAGATGCCTTGGCATTGTGTTTGCTTGCATGCAGCTATGCCCTGCAGCCACTGTGGAATGCTCGCGTAAGGAGCCCTTCTCTGCACATACCCCGACACCGTGATGGCATCTTGCCTCTCCCCAAGGCACTGCAGTCTAGTGGTCAGAAGCCCGAAGCCCAGCTCTGCCAGTAATGTACTGTGTGCTCTTAGGTAATCACCTTGCTTCAGGACAATGGAATAGTAACAGCTAAGCCATGTACCCGGCACTACTAATGAGAGCATTGCATATTTAGCCTTATTTACTTAAAACAACATTTTGAGGTGGGCCACATGATTTTCTCCATTGTGTCTTTCTGAGTCACAGAGAGGTTAAGTAACTGTGCAGGGTCACACAGCTCAGCAGAACTGAGATTCACTCTTAACAATCCGGCTGTAGGTTATCACGAGGGTTACATGTATCAGTGAGCAGAAGGTCCTTGGACAAGGACCCAGTACATAGCATGTGCTCATTAAAGCTTAGCTGTTGTCATTAGGACTTGCCTAAGGAATTGGAATATGGCTGGTCTTGCCTAGGTGGGGAGGAGGGAAGACTGAAAAATACCATTCACACTTAGAAAAGTCAAAGATTCCAGTTTACTCTGTCACTTTTTTAAAAGCTCTGTATTCATGGGAGAGGAGGAGGAAGAGCAGCTCCCACTGGGATCAGGTGGGAAGTGAGCCCGGGTCACCCTGTTATTACAAGCCCCGCCCAAGGAGCCTGGCTTCCCGTCCGGCCTCCGGGATCATGCTAGCACGGGGCTCTGTCAACGTGAAATGTGCAAATGATTTGGCGTCCCCCCTCCCTTGCTTTTCTTTGCAGCAGACAGAGAAGCAAAGAAGTTAGCGAGCTTGTTTTGGCAGAAGAAAAAACACAAAATGCCCAACCACAGATTCTCAAAAATATTGCTATGCACTAATTTTGCTAACATGTTAGACAGCCCTCGGATCTAGGCAATCTTGTTCCTCGGCTGGGAAGAGTTCCCGCAAGCCATGTGATCCCAAATCCACCCTAGGGATAATGAGAAAATCAGTTCCGGCCTTCCCTGGCCTTCCAGCCAAGCTGAACCAGGGCATCCCCTGATGCTTCAGCCCAGGGCCCACCCAGAGGATGCTAGCTGGTGTGCAGAGGCCTCAGCCCTGCCCTCCTGGACTCAGGTAAGACCCAGAGGTTTCCATGACCTCAAAATAATTTATCAGACAAAAACTCACTGCCCAGGTCAAAGTCACAGCACCAGAAAGCCAACTGGAGGGCAAAGACAAGGCTCCTTGTTGCCACAGTCCCCTGACCCTTCAAGGTCAGCATCTCCGTCAAAATAGGCTCAGTACTGAGGTAAGAAGGAGAACATCACTGTTAAGAAGGTAATGAGTCACAAATGCTATTTTGATGGTTTTCTTTGAAAGAAATACACATAACCAAACCAATTTTAATTAAAGATCTTGTCTTTGTAATCAGGCAGCCACAAATGAAGGCAAAACTGCTTTCATGTGGCATAATATACACAGAGCTGAACTAGTTTTCCCATAAAAGGGCAGGTTCTTTTTTTTCAAATAAGAAACTAGTTTGTTCTTCACAATACGGGGGATGCAACAGAAAGCTGTCTTTTGCAAAGTATAAAATTGCAAATCCTCCCATAAAAGCCATGTGTTGATGCTAAACCAGTGCGAACATTTGCCAAATGAGCATGCCAGCCAGGATTATCCTACCCTTTGAGATTAGACATGTGATCCTGATTTTTAAGTGAAAAATGCAGCCCAAGACCAAATAAACATACCTACAAGCACATCGAAAGCTCAAATGGTTGAGAAATGATTGGAACACACCCTGGTGTGTATTTCTGAGGAAGAATCAACGTGAACATGGAAACTGATGTTTTGAGTTTTGGTTGTAAAACTGCAACAGAAGTGAAATACCGCCCCTAACTATGTCCACTGAAACTAGTGAGGAGATAATCATTTTCAGTTAAATATGCATGTAATTTAATAACCCACAGAGGGCAAATACATTTGAGGTGGCCTGAACACAGTTAGGAGTTCTTGCTTATCAGCAGCGTTGAATCCTGCCTTTATTAGAGAAAGTTGCCCTGTGACCTGCTGTACCCAGAGGGCAACCTGGAGACCACTCCCCCATCACACCACACTCACTGGACTCCTATTTAAGTATTTTCAGGCAAGTGACTGTCTCTTTTTTTTTTTTGAGATGGAGTCTTGCTCTGTCGTCCAGGCTGGAGTGCAGTGGCACGATCTCGGCTCACCGCAACCTCCGCCTCCTGGGTTCAACTGATTCTTCTGCCTCAGCCTCCCGAGAAGCTGGAACTGCAGGTGCATGCCACCACACCCAGCTAAGTTTTGTATTTTTAGTAGAGACTGGGTTTCACCATATCAGCCAGGCTAGTCTCAAACTCCTGATCTCGTGATCCACCTGCTTTGGTGTCCCAAAGTGCTGGGATTACAAGCATGAGCCACTGTGCCCGGCTGACTGACCATCTTATAATGATCTTACAAGTACTGAACTGTATTATCTGGTCATAACCAGAGCACATGATGGGACAATAGAATATATGAGTGAAGTTCTAAATGCAAGGTAGCTCTTATTCTGTGAGTGACAAAACTCAGTCAGCAGATGAGGCCGGCAGGAGGCATTGGTGCCCTAATGCTGGGCAGCACTAACCACCTGCATGGACTGTGAATATCTGTTGGGTCCTTCCCATATCTGGTCTGTTCTCATGTTTGATTAGATCCTGGTGGTGAGAATAGCAAAATCAACTCTCATTACTATCCCATTTGGGGAGGGCATGAGTTGAGTCAGAGAGCGTTATCCTTTCTGTATTGTCACATGATGCACTTTATAGAGCAGCAAGTGTCCCTGTGGGGGATCCACAGCCACACGTCCTCATTGGCTGCAATGTTCAGTGTCCAATATCTACTGCCATGATCATTCTCATTTTTACACCCACAAAGCTTCGTAGAATTCTAACACCCCAGGTCAAAGTGGAGGTTTTGGACTCAGAGAGGGCTAGATTCCACCTCTGACATCAGCTGTGGGACTGTTTTTCCATCTGTAAAATGGAGACAACAGTATCACCTACCTCACGGTGTTAGTAGGATTATTAAACAGAATTTTGACCATAAAACCCTTAGCCTGCTCCCTGCACAGGCTGCATGTGCTCAGTGAACTGTGGCTCTCTTTCGTGCTGACTTCACTATCAGGGAAGGCAGAGGACTCTAACATTTGCATACTAAGTCCTTTTCTGATTTATAAGCCACGTTTTTTTTTTTTTTCTTTTTTTTTGAGACAGATTCTCACTCTGTCACCTGAGCTGAAGTGCAGTGGTGTCATAATGGCTCTCTGCAGCCTTGACCTCCCAGGCTCAAGCGATCCTCCTGCCTCAGTCTTCTGAGTAGCTGGGACTGCAGGTGTGCGCCACCATGCCTGGCTAATTTTTGTATTTTTTGTACAGATAGGGTCTCACTATGTTGCCCAGGCTGGCCTTGAACTACTGGGCTCAAGGGATTTGCCCACCTCAGCCCACCAAACTGCTGGGATTATAGGTGTGAGCCATTGTACCCCACCATATAAGCAGTTTTAAAAATGCTAGAAGCTTTAGTCATAGAATTACCGTATGACACAGCAATTTCACTCCTAGGTATCTACCCAAGGGAATGGAAAACATATGCCCACATGAAACCTTGTCATAAATGTTCACAGCAGCTTTATCGACGATGTTCAAAAAGGAGAAACTCCCTAAATGCCCATCAGCAGGTACACAGATAAGCAAGTTGCGGTCTATGCACACAATGGAATATTATTCAGTCATAAAAAGGAATGTGGCACTGATCCACGGCTACAACACGAGTGGAAAGCTTCACTGGGAGTGCAGGCAGCCAGACACAAGCATGGATGCCGTCTGCTCCCACTTGCAGGAGGGATCGAGAGTGGTCAGATTCAGGAGACGGCAAGTAGATTTAGGGTTATCAGGGGTGGGGGAGGAGGAGATGAGGAGCTTTCATTGTTAAATGTTTATGGAGTTTCTGTCTGGGATGGTGGAAATGTTTGGTACTAGATGGCGGTGATGGTTAGAAAGCGTTGTGAATGCAATTAATGCCACTCAATCTTACACTTAAAAATGGCTAACTGGCAAATTATATATATATATATATATATATATATATATATATATATATAATATTTATATATATTTTATATACATTTTATCACAAGTGTTTTGTTTTGTTTTGTTTTTTTAATGTGGTGAGCTGTGATTTTCCTTTTTAGGACAAACAAGCCCGTGTTCTTCTTGTGGTGGCTTAATACACACTTCAGCCCCTGTCACCTTATGGCCAAGCCGCTTCTTGTCTGAAACACAAGCACAGCGTCTGTCAGAGCCAAGGGGCCACCTCGGAGGTGGGTTTCTGCAGAACCCCTAGCCTGGGTGTTTTCTACTGACCACGCCCCAAGGAACCTGCATGGAGCTGTCTGCTTACACAGATGGACCGTGACCACTGTTCTTCAGGAATACAGACTTGCAGACCTGGCATGCTTTTGTGAGTGGAGACATCTCTGCACAGAAATCTTACTGTTGTGCCTGTCCGACCCTGGTCTCCTCTCTCCAGTCTCCCGTGCCCACATTCCAGGCTGTTCTATGCACTCCTTTCTGGAATGCCTGGGAGCATCTTGAGACCTTGCTGGATGCAGGGCGGCTGAGCTGCACTAGCCATGTGGGTGGTCTGCTCGGCCTCAGGATGGGCCCTGCCCACAGACTGAGTGGGCATTGCAGGCAGGGTGAGGGCTGCTGGCGGCTGCCACCAGTTACCCTTTTAGTATTTTTTTTTTCAATACACTTAAAAAATGTTCGCATAACTTTAGGTTCACAAAAAAAAATTGAGCAGAAACTATAGAGGTTCTACATGCCCCTTTCCCAATCCCCCCACCTTCTAGTTTTTTCTATTATTTCTATCTTGTGACACTTTTGTTACAATCGATGAGCCAATATTAATAGGTTATTATTCACTGAAGCCCACAGCTTACTTCAGGGTCAGCTCTTGGGTCTGCACATTCAATGGGTTTGGACAAACATATGAATACATATGTCCCAGCCAGCTGTGATGGCTCACACCTATAATCTCAGCACTTTGCGAGGCTGAGGCAGGCAGATCACCTGACGTCAGGAGTTTGAGACCAGCCTGGCCGACATGGTGAAACCCCCATCTCTACTAGAAATACCAAAAAATGAGCCAGGCATGGTGGCGCATGACTGCCATCCCAGTTACTCTGGAGGCTGAGGTGTCCGGGAGGCAGAGATTGCAGTGAGCTGAGATTGCGCTATTACACTCCAGTCTGGGTGACAGAGTGAGACTCTGTCTCCAGAAAAGAAAAAAACAAGACATGTGTCCCGATCAGAGTATCGTACAGAGTAGCTTCGCTGCCCTGAGAACACCCTGTGGTCTTCCTATTCCCCCCTCAACCCCAGAGACCACTGATATTTTGACCATCCCCATGGTTTTGCCTTTTCGGAATGTCGTATGGTTGGAATCGTGCACTGTGTAGCCTCTGCAGATGGGCTTCTTTCACTGAGCAATATGCATGGAAGGTTCCTCTATGTCTTTTCAAGGCTTGATGCCAACCTGTCTTGCAAAGTGGCTGCAGCATTTTGCATTCCCACCATCAATGAATGAGAGTTCCAGTTGCTCCACATCCTCACCAGCATTTGGTGTCATCATTGTTTCGGATTTTAGCCATTTCATAGGTGTGTAGAGGTATCTCATTATTTTAATCTAATAAACATCTTATTGAAGAATAATGCACAAGCAGAAAACTTCGCAGATAAAAAGGAACGGCTTTTTCACCAGTCACTCACTGGATACAGCCCAGTGTCCAGCACCCAGGCCAAGAAACAGACACTAACAGGGTTCAGTGACCCCCTCAGGACCCATATAGATCCACTTCCAATAATTCATCCTTGTCTTAGGTAATTTGTCTCAGGAAAGTAGAGAGAGAGAGAGAAATCAAAAGACAGAGAATCTCACAGAATGAATGAATGAATGAATGAAGAAACCAATGAAGAATAACAGCAGAAATGTCAGCTCTTTATGGTTGCATGTATTACTACAAATAATTCTGGAAACATGTTATTTACACAGAAATAAAAAGAGATGTGTTGATTCCGTTTGACGACAATGAGGCCCCCTGAGGCAATGGATTCATTTATTTGTATGAAGGCTGATATGATAAAAATGATTCCTCAGAGCCATGCACAAGATAAGAATTCGGAGTTGCTGGTGCTCCTTTGGCATGTGGCCAGGACCTCCCTGGCCAGTGTCACTGGATGCACCAGCCGTCTAGCCCAACACCCAGCCTGCCATGGGATGGCCTCATCCTGGCCCCTGGCCTTCGCCCATTCTTTGGGTACTTGCTGGCATTCTGAAAGGGGACAGTCTGAACCTAGGGAGAGGAGAGGGCTTAACATCTTGCTGAGGAATATGTCAACCATGGGGGCAGGAACACAGGAAAAATCATCCAGTCCTGAGCCGAGCTGAGAAGCATCTCAGCAAGGCCAAGGTGACTGGTGAATTTCTGCAGGTGCAAATTTTCTAGGAGCCTAGAATCAGGTTTTTACTAGTCTATAATGTCAGAAGTCTAGGCCAGGCATGGTGGCTGACCCCTATAATCCCAGCACTTTGGGAAGCTGAGACTGGTGGGTCACTTGGGGTCAGGAGTTTGAGACCAGCCTGGCCAACAGGGTGAAACTCCTTTTCTACTGAAAACACAAAAATTAGCCAGGCGTAGTGGCAGGTGGCTGCAATCCCGGCTACTGAGGAGGCTGAGGCGCCGTGGCCTGCTGTGTAGGTTTCGATTATCCTCAGCTGGAAACAGCGGAAACCCCAGGTCACAGTAGCTTCAAGAAGGTAGGTTTTGTGTTTTTCTCTTTCACACTAAAGTCTGGAGGAAGGCAGGCCAGGGTAGAGAGTGCATCTCCCTCGAGCCGTCCTGAGATGAGGCTTCTTCTGTCTGTGGCTCTACCATGGGGGGCCTCTGTCCCCAGGAACCTTCTCAAGATTGGCCCCTTCAGCCTCAGCCCTCACATCTGCCATTTCAGCCAGCAGGACAGAGGAGCGCTGAGAGGGGGAAGCCCAGGGGCCTGGGCCCACTG